CTGGAGTCAGAGACAACGCAGTGTGGAGCTGTAGGAACACAGCAGGCCCGGCAGCATCAGAGGAGCAGGAAAGCTGACATTTCGGGTTGGGACCCTTCTTCAGACCCTGCTGATTGCTAGGAGGACCATCGCTGTCCTTCAATTCCACACTCACGTTCATTCATCTGGCTTCCACATGCACTCCTTCCCCCTCTCTCATCCTATCAAACTTGAGTATTCAGTGAGCTCTACAGCAACACAAGCTCTGCTGTCCCACCTGTGGAGTCTGGTTCAACTTTCAGAACGAAGTGATAACCGCAGGAGTCAACGAATGCCACTTTTGTCTTAGAACATAAGAACATAAGAACTAGGAGCAGGAGTAAGCCGTCTGGCCCTTCGAGCCTGCTCCGCCATTCAATAAGATCATGGCTGATCCTTTCCTGGACTCAGATCCACTTACCCGCGTCCTCACCGTATCCCTTAATTCCTTTATTGTTCAAAAATATATCTATCTTTTTTTTTTAAAAGCGTTTACTGAAGTAGCGTCAACTACCTCACTGGCAAGGAATTCCATAGATTAACAACCCTCTGGGTGAAGAAATTCCTTCTCAGTTCAGTCCTAAATCTGCTCCCTCTAATCTTGAGGCTATGCCCTCTTGTCCTAGCTTCACCTGCCAGTGGAAACATCCTCTCTACTTCTATCTTATCTATTCCCTTCATAATTGTATATGTTTCTATAAGATCCCCCTCAATCTTCTGAATTCCAATGAATATAATCCCAATCTACTCAGTCTCTCCTCATAAGCCAACCCCCTCAACTCCGGAATCAACCTAGTGAACCTCCTTTGCACCCCCTCCAGTGCCAGTACATCCTTTCTCAAGTAAGGAGACCAAAACTGCACACAGTACTCCAGGTGTGGCCTCACCAGCACCTTGTACAGCTGCAACATAACCTCTCTGCTTTTTATTTCAATCCCTTTAGCAATGAAGGACAAAATTCCATTTGCCTTCCTAATTACTTGTTGTACCTGCAGACCTACCTTCTGTGATTCACGCACAAGGACACCCAGGTCCCTCTGCATAGCAGCATGCTGCAACTTTTTACCATTCAAGTAATAATCCTTTTTACTATTACTCCTACCAAAATGTATGACTTCACATTTATTTACATTGTATTCCATCTGCCAGACCTTTGCCCACTCACTCAATGTATCTATGTTCCTCTGCAAGGTGTCACAGTCCTCTGCACACTTTGCTTTGCCACTCATCTTAGTGTCATCTGCAAACTTTGACACCCTACACGTGGTCCCCAACTCCAAATCATCTATATAAATTGTAAATAATTACGGTCCCAACACCGATCCCTGAGGCACACCACTAGTCACTGACTGCCAGCTAGAATAGCACTCATTTGTCCCCACTCTTTGCTTCCTGTTAGTCAACCAATCCTCTATCCATGCTAATACTTTACCCTTAATGCCATGCCTCCTTATCTTACGCAGTAGCCTCTTGTGCGGCACCTTGTCGAAGGCCTTTTGGAAATCTAGGTACACCACATCCACTGGGTCCCCATTGTCCACCTTGCTCGTAATCTCTTCATAGAATTCCAAAAGATTTGTCAAGCATGACCTGCCCTTCATGAACCCATGCTGCATCTGCCTAACGGGACAATTTCTATCAAGATGCCTTGCTATTTCTTCCTTGATAATAGACTCAAGCATCTTCCCCACTATAGAGGTTAAGCTAACCGGTCTATAATTCCCCATCTTTTGTCTACTTCCCTTTTTAAACAGTGGCGTCACATTTGCTGTTTTCCAATCTGCTGGGACTGCCCCAGAGTCCAGCGAATTTTGGAAAATTAGCGCCAGTGCACCTGCTATTTCTCCCGCCATCTCTTTTAGTACCCTGGGATGCATTCCATCAGGGCCAGGAGACTTATCAATCCTTAGCTCCATTTGCTTGCCCAACACTACCTCTTCCGTAATTATGATTGTTTCAGGTCCTCACCTACCTTCGTCTCTTTGTCTATTACTGGCATGTTATTAGTGTCCTCCACTGTGAAGACCGATACAAAATACCTGTTCAATGCCTCCGCCATTTCATCATATCCCATAACTAAATTCCCCTTCTCATCCTCTAAAGGGCCAACGTTTACTTTAGCCACTCTTTTTCGTTACATATATTTATAAAAACTTTTCCTATGTCTTTATATTCTGTGCTAGTTTTTTTTCATGTTCTATCTTACTTTTCTTTATACCTGTTTTTGTGGCTTTCTGTTGACCTTTAAAGTTTTCCCAATTTTCTAGTTTCATGCTGTTTTTGGCCACTTTGTATGCCTTCTCTTTCAATTTGATAGCCTCCCTTATTTCTTTAGACACCCATGGCAGATTACCCCTTTTCTTACAGTCCTTCCTTTTCATTGGAATATACTTTTGCTGAGCACTTTGAAAGATTGCTTTGAAAGTCCTCCACTGCTCGTCAACTGTCCCACCATAAAATCTTTGTTTCCAGTTTACTTTAGCCAAGTCCTCCCTCATTCTATTGTAGTTCCCCTTGTTCAAGCACTGGACCCTGGTATTGGATTTTATCTTCACACTCGCCATCTGTATTCTAAATTCAACCATACTGTGATCACTCCTTCCAAGAGGATCCCTAACTATGAGGTTATTAATTATTCCTGTCTTATTACACAGGACCAGATCTAGGACAGCTTGCTCCCACGTTGGTTCCATTACATACTGTTCAAGAAAACTATCACAGATACACTCAACAAACTCCTCCTCAAGGCTACCCTGACCGAGCTGGTTTGACCAATCTACATGTAGGTTAAAATCCCCCATGATAATTGCCGTACCATTTTTACAGGCATTAGTTATTTCTTTGTTTATTGCCCGCCCCAATGTGACGTTATTATTTGGTGGCCTATAGACTACGCCTATCAGTGACTTTTTCCTCTTAGAATTTCTAATTTCCACCCAAATGGATTCAACCTCATTCTCCATAAAACCTATATCATCTCTCAGCACTGCCCTGATGGCGTCCTTGAATATCAGAGCTACACCACCTCCCTGTCTGTCCTTCTGAATAGTCTGGTACCCTTGGATATTTAACTCCCAGTCGTGACCATCCTGTAACCATGTCTCCGTAATGGCTACCAAATCATATTCATTCGCGATGATTTGTGCCGTTAACTCATCAACCTTGTTACGAATGCTACGAGCATTCAGTAAAGTGCCTTTATGCTAGCTTTCTTACCCTCATGATTTCCAACATCTCTAATAATATCTCCTGAGTTATCCTTCCTTTTTGCTTCTTTCATAGTCTGCCTTGAACCTAAACCCTCCTGCACACATGCTAACCTGCTGCTTACCTCTTTATTTACCATCATACTCCCTGTCGTTTTCCCTTTCCCTTCCCCCCAAACTCACTAGTTTAAAGTCCTAGTGACCACCCTATTTATCCTTTTTGCAAGAACACTGGTTCCAGATTGGTTCAGGTGGAGACCGTCCCATCGGTACAGATCCCTCCGGTTCCAAAACTGATGCCAATGCCCCATGAAATGGAACCCCTCTTTCCCACACCACTCCCTTAGCCACGTGTTGTACAGTATTTTGTATTTTCAATGAGTAATGTTCTCATTCTGAAGAACATTTCTTTTTCCCCCCCACCCCTCAATGCAGCGTCCTCTACGACATTTTCCAGCCAACCTGCTCAGGGAGTTGCCTTCCGCATTGTAGTCATTGCTCGGCCTTCCTGACAGAATCCTGGAGTTCCTCCAGATCTGGTCCTGACGTTAAGATGCACCGATCCCAGTCTGCTTCAATCCACAAAGAGTGAGGGGGTTGGGGGGCTGCAAATTAGTTCCATTCACATCACAGGAGGTGGCCATTCACATTATCCAACCAGTTCTAACTCCAATTGCAGCTGTCTCCTCTAATCTCACTCTCCTTGCCTGTTTCCTATATGGCTTTTATAATCTTCCTTTTCAGATCATTATTTAATTTCCTTTCAGCTGTGAACTTCTCACCTGCAACGGTGCCAGGAGTAAAAGATATAATGTTCTAATAATGATCTACGCATGTGAAAATATTACATCTAGCCTCCTCCTTAGTGTCTGAATAGCCTCCTTAGTCTATGTTTCTTATTATTAGTTATACATCATCCATGGCAAGGTACCTCGAGCAACATTATTACAAATACAATTCATAGCATGGTTACGGCACAGATAAATCATTTGATGTGCCCTGGAGAAGGGTCACTGGATGCAAAACGTTAACTGTGTTTCGTTCTCTCCCCCTGCAGATGCTGACATACCTGCTGAGTTTCTCCAGCAATTCCTGTGACAATTCCTGTCGTTTTCATGCCAGCTGTCTGTGCAACAGCAAATCATCCAACCCTTACCCTTTCCCAATAATCACTGAATCCCATGCCGTGTTAAAACTGTATAAAGAAAATGATTCAACTAAGATCTTGAAGGAGGTTAACAGGGTGGATGTGGAGAGAATGCTGCCTGAAATGGGAGAGTCTGTACCTTAGTATACTATGTGGGGCTTACTAGTCAAAAATAAGGGGACACCCATTTAAAACAGAGAAAAAGGTGACTTTTTCCTGCAGATGATCCATAAGGAAAAGGATCAGCAAGAGGCCATTCAGCCCATTGAGTCTGCTCTGCCTTTCAATGTGATCAAGGCTGATCTGATAATTGCACTTTCCTGGATTCCCTTATTGATTAAAAATCTCTCAACCTACAGCATACTTACTAACCCAACCTCTAGAGCCTTCTTTGGTAAAGAATTCCACAGATTTGCTACCCACTTGCGAGCAATATTCCACTCGGATTTCACTCCAATGGGATGGAATTTCCACGTACATGTTGTGAGGATCCTTCCCACAGATTTTCAGGATAACTGCGATGGAGAATTAGTGCCGAACAGCAACCTGCTGAATCCTTGCATTCTCTTTGGAGGGAGTTTATGCAACATACTTCTATTCACTGAAACAAATTACATCGGACACAATAGGAAAGGCAACAGAACCATAGCATTTAATACAGACATTGCAAGGGACACATGCATTACCGCGCCCATGGCTTTGTTAAACGGTGGGAACCGGCTCAGTGAAGGCGGAACTTGTGACTTAGAAAGACCCAAGAGGCTGAACTCTTATAGGGGGCAGCAATCACCATGGAAACAGCACACACCACTGGGAGCAACAGGAAGAATTTGAGGAGCTAAAAAGCTGGGACTAATCCATTCAGTTGCTCCAAATACGACCCCGCTCCTGTCCTTACTCTCCTCTCAACTATTAATGGATGATGTATACATCTCAAGGTGCTTCAAATCTCTACCTCCTTACTATGACCAATCAAAATTCCCCGTGCAAATTCCACCCAGCACCTTTCCACTATACCTCCTGACTTTTTGTCGTGACCAGCTCCTCCTCTACCCTTCCACCATCCAAAACTTCTGACTCGTGCAGTTCCTTGTGGCTTGTGGAGCACTTCTAAATGCCAACATGGCATGCGAGCCACCAAATGAGGTGCTGCATCTGCACCCCCTCACGCCCTTCCCTCGGGGGGGGGTGGGCAGTTTCTCCCGCCCCAGTCCTCTAATGCCACCCTCCTCCACTGCCACCTCACCCACCCTCCAGCCCACGTTCCTGCTGTCTCTCATTTGGACTCTTGGAGAAGCATTCCCTGGGATTATAACAGTGGAGATGCTCCGAGGAAGTAGCTCAGCAGCCGTGAAGGACTCTAGAATATCTCAAGGCCAGGAAGGGTATTGCCCAAGATGTTTCTAATCCGAGCACTCGTCTCCTCCTCTCCCTTTTGAAAAAGAAATGCCTGTAAAGATCCCATCTGTTTGAATTTAGTTCCCATCACCTCTTCCCACTTGGCTATACTGTTTTCCTGTTCAAAAAGGCCTCAGGATGGGTGCATCATGTGCATTTATAACAAGTGCTATAATTGTTCTCGGTGCCTTTGGAGGAAGGTGCAAGATATAGAATGCTTCATCTCCAAGTGCGATAACACCTTGATTTAGCACCCCCGCCCCACTCCCTAACCTTTAATGGGCTTTGCGTGTCAACCATCGGAAAAAAAACACGTGATTTACTGGGGTGTGTGGTTAAAAGACGAAGGAAATAGCGCAGTTGATCTGGCAAACAGGGAGGAACAAAACAAAAAGTAGTTTGGTCACATGTAAGAGTGCTTCTGGTCAAAACAAAAATACGGGGAAAAAAAAATGCCACAGGATCGTAGGTTGCTGGAGAAGGTGGCTTCCCGCGTCCCCCTGACCTTGGATTTCTCTCCCGCCTGCCCCTGTCACATGAGGCAGAAGGAAAAACGTCAACAAGGCCAAGGTGGAGTACAAACAAAAAAAAGGTAAAAAGGGCGCAGGGCTTTATATTCGGACGATGAATGAAGAGAGAGTCGGGGGGCTTTGCAATGTTAATTCCATGACTTGGCTGGAGGGGGAAGGGGTTTCGGAAATGGGGTGGGTTCCGGTGCGGTGACAAATGAGCCGCTGCTCAGTCAGCTCGGTGGAAGTCCCCGCGCCTCCCACCCGTCTTGCTCAGCAGCTTAACCTCCTCGATGACAATGTCGTGAGTGACGGACTTGCACATGTCATAGATGGTCAGTGCCGCCACGCTGGCCGCCACCAGGGCCTCCATCTCCACGCCCGTCTTGCCGCGGGTGCCGCAGGTCGCCGTGACAACCGCCGCCCACCGGGCCTCGTCCAGCTCCAACCGCACGTCGGCCCAGTGCAACCCAATCGGGTGGCACAGCGGGATGAGCTGGGCCGTCAGCTTGGCGCCGCCGATACCCGCCAAGCGAGCGGCCGCCAGGGCGTCCCCCTTGCGCAGCCGCTCGGCCCGCAGCAGCCGGAAGGCCTGCTCACCCAGTCGCACCACAGCCCGGGCCTGGGCCGTGCGCTGCGTGTCTGGCTTGCCCCCTATGTCCACCATGACCGCCGCCCCCTGGGCGTCAACATGAGTCAGGCTCCCGGCCTCCTGCCCCGTTCCGCCCTGCTGGCCGCCGTCCCACTCGGATCCGCTCTTGCCGGGTCTACGGAGGGCAGCGCGGTACGTTCTGAGGGCAGGCCGGCCCTCGGTGGGCCCCACTCCACTCCTAAAGGTTAACAGGCCTCCCTCCCCGCTCAACACATCGTTCCAGAATGTTCTTCCCACCCCGACGGGCGCCGAGCCCCTCCGACTTGGTAGGGCTGAGTTGGTGATGTTGTAAGCTGCACCAGGAGGAGCACGATCTTCGCCTGCAACCAGTAAAACAAAACCGAGGTGAGAAAGGGAAGGTCGGAAAAACATCCCTGTCAGGCAACTCGAGAAGGAGCACGGAATTCAGCCCTTCTAGCCTGTTCTACCACTCAAGAGGACCGCTGCTGATCTTCTATCTCAACGCTACATTCCTGCTATTTCCCTCGATGCCTTTTAACATCTAAAAGTGCAACTCTTCCTTGAATAGGTTCATGGCTCGGCTTCCTGAGGTACGGGATTCCCCACCCTCTGAGTGAGGAAAAGTTTCCTCATCTCCGCCCTGAATGCCCCCCCCCAGTTCTAGGCTCCTGAGCCAGGCAAAACATCTTTCCTGAGTCTAAGTCCACCCAGCCCCATTAAGAGTTCTATACGTTTCGACCAGATCCACCCACCATCCTTCTAAACTCTAGCTAATACAGAACCGATGTCTCCTAATGGGACAGTCCATCACCAGCATCAGCACAGTGAACCTCCTCTGCACTCCCTCTACTGATGATCAATCCTTTGTTGGGCAGGGAGAGCTTGGTACAGGCACCCTCGACCTTTAAAAAAGTGCCAAAGGAGCCTGTAGGTGAGGCTCCCCCTCTGGCGGCAGACCTGACTGTGCGGCACTCCCACAGCAAGGCTTCTGCCAAAAAGTTTGGTACCAGCTCAGAGGCGGGTTAGCTACCACCTGAGCTGACAAATATGGGCGGCCACATGAGACGCAGAGAATAGCAGCAGAAGACGAGGAGAACAGGAAAGCGGCAGGATCTTTAGCGTGGGCATGGGACGCACGGTGCGGACAGTGCAGGGTGCAGAGAGTGGTGGCATGCGCTGTGGGCAGCGGTAGTGGAGGCAGATACTTTAGAGACTTTTAAGTGACTCTTGGATAGACACATGGAGGATAGTAAAATGTAGGGTATGCAGGGTTAGTTTGATAATAGGTTGGCACAACATCGTAGGCCGAAGGGCCTGTACTGCACTGTACTGTTCTATGTTCTATGAAAAGAAAGCTGGGCTCATTTCAAAGTGGCTAGCACGGATGCCAAATAGGCTAAATGGCCATAGGATTAGGCAGCACTTGAAGCAGTTGCGTGCCTGGGTAGAGAGCGGTCACAGATTCATAAACCTACAGGTTTCCTGCAGCTCCGAACGGGTTGTGAGGGTCGTGTGGGGAGTCAGGAGCTGGATGCAGAGTTTAAAAAGGCACACAAGCTACTTCTGCTGAAGCCATTTATTCACTCTCTTCCTTAATCCCCACAGAAACTTTAAAAACAAAATTTACATTAAAAAAAAAAAAATCACTAGCCAAGCCAGCATGCCACAAAATAATAAATAAAAACATTAGGCCAGATACTGCTGAGCTTGGAACAGACCGCCCACCTGGGGATTAGGCATATGGACAAATTTCTGTTGTATCCCAAAATTATTTCCTGCCTCAGAGAAGGGGGGAGAAAGAAAAAAGGCAGAAAATTCCCAGGTTCCAGGCCAAGCTTCACCTGCTGAGAAGCATTGCAAGAAGAGCCAAGTTCTAGCATTTATGCTCTTGATGGGACACAACGCAGAGTTTTCCCCCAAATTACACTGAGCCCCCTTTCACAGGTGTCACACACTGCTTGGATCTGCCTTCGCTGGAGATGGAAGGTCGGGAGGGCCATCAGTAACGCACCTTGGCACAGCTAACTGCGCTCAAAGCACGGTATTAAATACGTTGTCAAAAACCGAAAGAGCTGCGGATTCTGCAAACCAGAAATATTGCTGGAAAAGCTGGCAGCATCCGTGGGGAGAAATCAGAGTTAACGTTTCGGGATGTTTCTCAGAACGGAAGGCTGACTGGACCTGAAAACGTTACGTCTGATTTCTCTCCGCAGACCTTTTCCAGCAATTTCTGCCGTTATGAATTAAATTGTTATTGGTTTGGAGACTAATTTTATCATTGTACCTGGGTTTTCGTTCACGAGGCATCGATAACTTACATTTACATCGCGCTTTTGTCCGACAATGAAGTGTTTTACAAATGCAACGTGCTGGCTGTAACATGGTCAGCCGATTAGCACACAGCAAGCTCCCATAGAAGGTAACGTGATAAGAAACAGGACCAGGACTAGGCAATTTGCCCCTCGAACCTACTCCCCCATTTAGCTCAATCCTGGCTGATCTCATCTTGGCCTCAATTGTGACTTCCTGTCCGTTCTCCATAACCCTTCAACCCATTACTAATTAAAAATCTGTCTATCGTCTCCTTTAAATTTATCCAGTGTCCACCGCACTGTGGGCTACTGAATTCCACAGGTTCACTAACCTTTGAGAGACGCAATTTCTCCTCATTTGTTTTAAACCTTGCACCCATTACCCTAACCCGAACCAAAACGTCAGCTTTCCTGCTGCTCTGATGCTGCCTGGCCTGCTGTGTTCCTCCAGCTCCACTCTGTGTTATCCCTAAAACCACGGCTTGTTCTGAACAGCCTCACATCAGGAACTACATCTACTTTGTCGATTCCCTTTGGCATCGTACATACCTCAACTAGATCGCCTCTCATCATTCTAAACTCTAACGTCTAAGCCAAGCAGCCATCGGAAGTGAGCCCCGTTCAGGTTTGGTTTTGAGGTCCACCTGAACGGGGAAGCTTGCGAAAATCCCCCCAGGCAAACAGCGGTTAGAGGTGAAGGAGTTAAGATGAGACAGGAAGAGGAAGACGGGGTGTTTAATCCGCGTGTTTAAAAAGTCAATCATACGTACTGCTCCATCACCCACCAATCAGAATCATGGGTCTGTTCTTCATCTGCGATATGTTAAACATCCCTGGAAAGGAACCACCTTGTTAAAAACGTGAAACAGCCCGACAACCAGGAATTATTTTTGAAAATTTATCATCCTGATCGCCTGCTCAATGACCAAGCGGAAAGCCTGATCCTCTTGCTTAACACTCAAACAGCACAGGACAGGGAGACCATTCAGTCCTTCCTACCCATGTCAGCTCTTTGTAGAACTAGTCACACTCCATAGCCCATTCCTTGATCCTACACAATGTCAGGGACTCTGGGCTGAGAATTCAACATTCAGATCTGCACCTGTGAAACGACAGATCTGTCAAATGTCTCTTTTCAAATAACGGATCCTCGGTTGCCCTTAATCTCATGCCTGTGGCTTGAAAGGCTGGGGTGTGGGGGGGGGTAGCTAGTTGTTCCCTCGCAGTTAAGTGCCTGTGCCAGGTCTTTGACAGAGCCCTGGAATTAGGCCTAAGTGTCTGTACTCACAGTCCCGCATCCAACCTTCAAATATTTATCCACATTCCCTGAGGAAGTTATGTAAGGAAGAATATGATTGCACTGGGAGGGGTTGCAGAAGAGATTCGCCAGTGACGGAGAATTCCAGCTCTGATGAGAAGCTGGATAGGCTCGGATTGTTTTCTTTAGAACAGAGAAGGTTGATTGGCGTGTGTAAGATTATGAGGGACATGGACAGGATGGGTAGGAAACAGCTGGACCCCTTAAGTGAAGGGTCAATTTACAAGGAGGCATCGTTTTAAAGGCGAAAGGCAAGAGGTTTAGTGGGGATTTGGGAAAAACCATCTTCACCCAGAGGGTGGGGGATTTCTGGAATGCACTGTCTGGGAAGTCAGCTGAGGAGGGAAATCTCACAACCTTTAATATGCACTTGAAATCCCAGAGCATTCATGGTTTACGGGCCTTTGCTGGAAAGCGGGCCCAGCGAGGACTGGTCAGCACAGATTCAAACGGGCTGAAGGGCCTCTTCTGTGTTGCACAACTCTGTGTTTTATTGTCAACTGGAATCACTCTTTCAGCTTTAATGATAATAGCAACTTGCTCCATTCAAACACAAGAGACTAATTTCCTCTGCTGGTTGCGTCTTGCAAATAGCTTCAAAATCTGCATCAGCGCATTATTGATCCTGCGGCCACCGAAAATTTAATTTTGAACCCCACTTTTAAAACTCCCCTCCCTGAACAAGAAACAATGTCGCGTAAACTTACCGGCATGTTGCTTCTTCTTCCTGCCCACGGCGGCTCCGATAATCTCCAGGATTTCTAAGTCTGTGGCTCCGGATCTCAGGACATCCCTCAGAGATACTTCGGTGTTCCCAAAGAGGCACACCTATACATTAAAGACAGAGCTGGCAGCTGAACGGCAGACAGAACAAATCCGGGCCCTTTCTTTGGAGATTCAGGGCGGAGGAGACACAGGGCAGCACGGTGGCTCAGGGGTTAGCACTGCTGCCACACGGCACCAAGGGCCCGGGTTCGATTCCAGCCTCGGGCGACTGTGCAAACTCCACACAGACATTCTCTCAGTTTTGCTCGGATTTTCTCCCACATTCCAAAGATGTGCGGGTTAGGTGGATTGGCCGTGCTAAATTGCCCACAATGTCCAGGGATGTGCAGGTTAGGTGCGTTAACCCTGCATTTCCCATGGCTACAGAGACAGAGTGAGTCTGGGTGGGATGCTCTTTGAAGGGTGGGCATAGACTTGTTGGGCCGAATGGCCTGCTTCCGCGCTGTAGGGATTCTATGATCTCATACTCTTACTCTCCTCAATTTTCCCAATATTTTAGCTTTTTAATTCAGATTCTGGTGGGAACTAATCGCGGCTGATCATCCAACAGTGTACCTTGTCCCCTCTTTCTCCTCATACCCATTGATCCCCTTCACAACAGATTCCTTTTGAGAAGAAAGTGGATGAAGTTCTTTTGGCAAAAGTGTGGGATCAACGGATATGAGGGGAGGAAGTGGTTAGGGTATTGAGCTTGATGTACAATTATGATCAGAATGAATGGCTCAAGGGGTCGAACGGCCTACTCCCACGTTTCCAAGAAAGACAGGGAGAAGGTGGACACAGTACGTGAGGGCTGATGGATATTGGGTGGGGTAATATAGTCAGAGAGTCAAAATGGTCAGACCCACATAAAAGGAATCCCTAGCAGTGAAGAGATGCAACACCAGGCAGGATGTGGAGGAAGAAGGCAGACAAGGCTTGGGAAAATAACAGGAGCTTTGGCTCACCGACTACAGACTGAAGACTGAAGATAGAGTTGGCTAACATGCCAATGGTGGCCAACACTAATCCCAGCACCAGTCACAATAGAACATGACCTCTCACCTATTGACAGTCTGGATGTCTTACTATCCAACATGGCTGCTCCCCGCTGTCTGTTGGCGTGCGGTCACGTTCTGTGACTGTGGATTTTCATGATCAGAATGGGGGTGGGGTGGGGTGGACATTTGACACAGGCACCAAGGATGAGGAAACTGGTAAGGCCCATCGAATGCAACTGCCCCTCCCACCTCCAGCCCCCGCCTTTACCTTCAGATTGCCATCGGCTGTGAGCCTCAGTCGATTGCAAGAGCCGCAGAAATGTTCAGACATGGAAGTGATAAATCCAATCCGGCCCTGGAAGTCAGGAACCTTGTAGGCCTAAAAGGAAGAGAAGGCCTGCAGGTGAATTCTTAACGTTCACAAGTGTCCATAAGCCTTCCCCTACTGTCAGATACTGGCTACTGTCTTGTTTTCGAGCCTCACACTTGGATTGCTGGCTCACTCTTGGATCAGAAAGGAAGAAGCGACGTATTTAGTGGATCAATAAAATATGGAGGGGAGGCTTGAGGCTTGCTCTGTGGGCCTCTGAAACGCACAAACCAAGAGCTGCCCAGTGTCGCACCCACAGGTGCTTCCTGGGTTCAGCCACAGGAATTTATCTTAGGCTTTTCATCCCAAGGAAAGTCTTCAGTTCAGTGCTGGATAGTGGGGGGGAGGGGGAAGAAGTCTTTTACAGACTAGGCCCGGGTGAGTAACAGTGCAAGCTGCTCCACACACGAGGCAGTCGGACTCAGGAATAAGGGAGTGAAGGCACACTGGCTAAACTTGCAGGTTGGCAGAGAAATATGTGGGGAAGGTGACTCAACAAGGATGTAAGCCGGCATCGAGAGGTTAGAGGAGTGAGCGAACAAAAATCTGGCACATTGTGTATAAAATGGAGAAAATGTGGAAGCTGTTCATTTTTATGTACAAAAGCAGAGTATTATTTTGACAGAGAATGATTGCAGAATTCCAAGCTCCTAGGAGTGAGTCACAAAACTTTAGTGTGCAGGTACAGGAATCCTATTTATTACAAGAGGAATTGAACGTAAAATTAAGCATGTTCAGCTTCAACGACAAGGGCATCGTGAGACTACATTTTGCTCCTTACTGAAGGAGGGATGGAAATGCATTTAAGACAGATCACTGGAAGGTTTTTTTAAATTCAATCTTGGGGCATGGCTGGCCAGCATTTCTTGCCCATCCCTAGTTGCCCTGGAGAAAGTGGTGGTGAGCTGCCTTCTTGAACTGCTACAGTCCTCCTACTTGCTGTGGGCTGACCCACAGTGCCCCCACGGAGGGAACTCCAGGTTTGTTGGAATATAGAATAACAGGAAGACCTTGAGGATTCTGAGGACTTTGTCCCCCCTTGTGGGGGGACTAGAGGGCATCACCTCAGAATCGGGGGTTGCACATTTAACATATTTAGAGAATTTCTTCTCGGCCAGTACAGAATCTGTGGAATTCTTTATCGCAGAGAGCTGTTGAGATTGGGTCATTAAGTATGTTCAAGGTCGAAACAAATACGCTTTAGTTTTTGAGAGCATCAAGGGTCAAGGTGAAAAGGCAGGGAAAGCTGATTTTGGGGATGATCAAATCATCCGTCGTTGAGGGGCAGACCAAACCTGATGAACTGAACGGCCTACTTCCGCTTCTATGTCTTACGGCCCTGCACAGTCAGGGGGTACCGAATCAAGACCTCTGTGAGGAAGAAACGTGTGTTGTTGGGCTTTTTCTACCTCAGGTGCTGAGTTTCACTCTTTGGCTGGAAGTAACTGGGTGCACTGACCTACACACCAACACCTTTCACTGGCAGGCATCTCTAAAACCAATGGGAAAGAGAAGAAAAGCACTGCATTTGCGTAGCAACCCCAACGTCTCAGAACGCACTCTGGCACACGCGCATATTTTGTAATTGGGTTACGCAGGTAGACTCAAGGAATTAAAACTATTCCCAATGGAGCAGGCGGAGAGGAGATTGGGTAGAGGTTTGCGAAAGCTCGTGAGGTCTACACGGAATAGGCAGTGGGAAATTATTCCCGTTGCTGGAAGGAGCAGGAAGCAGAAGGCATATGGTGGCAGAGGGAAACGCAAGAGGTGGTTATGGTCTGGAATGCATTGCCTCAGAATGTGGTGCAGCCAGGGGCAACCATGCGATTTCAAAAGAGAATTAGATTATCTGAACAGAGACAAGAACTTCCAGAGCTATGGAAAGACGACAAAAGGAGCTGTAGTGGATGAACTGCCAATTCCGAAGTGTGACGCAGACAGGAATGACCTCTTTCTGACCTGCAACCACTCCATTTCTTCATTACTCTATTTATGAACATGTAGACATTATTGGAGGAAGGACATTCTTATTGTGGATGGAGTGCAATGAAGGCTTTGCTACACTGATTCCTGGGAACTTCACAGAAACCAACAAAACTCTAACAGGACTAGACAGGACAAACACAGGAAGGATGTTTCCAATGACTGGGGAGTCCAGAACCAGGGGTCACAGTCGAAGGGTATATTTCGGACTTAGATGAGACATTTCTTTACCCAGACAGTGGTGAGCCTCTGGAATTCGCTGTCACACAAAGTGGTCGAGGTCAAAACATTGAATGTTTTCAAGAAGGAATTAGATAAAATTCCTGGGGGTGAAAGGGTGTGGGGAGAAAGCAAGAACAGGGGATAAGCTGGAAGATAAGCCACAATTGTACAGAATGGCGTAGCAGTCTCGAAGGGCTGCTCCTATTTTCTAGGTTTCAATTTGTGATTTAGGAAATATGCAGCAAATCTGCGCACTGCAAGCTCTTACAGACGGCAAATGTGACAATCAGGTTATCTTTTTAATAGCTGGTTAAATAAGGACCAGGCCATTGAGGCGAACTTACCTGCGCCTCATTGAATTGAGGTCGTGGGAGCTGGGCCATCCAGAGAGACTTTGGTGTCTCACCCAATAGTTTAGATCCTCTGATACCGCAGCACTGCGCTTGAGAGGCAAAGTAGATTCTTGAACTAGAGTACCTGGGGTGGGTCTTGAACCCGCCACCTTTGTACTCAGAGGTCTCCACTGTGGCAAGATGCAATCGTTTCTGTTTCTCCCCCTAGAGTTCCAAATGATTGGAGACCTTGCTTCCTGCCTGCCTGCATCACCTGAAAATTGCAGAATTACCTTTGCTGTGTCACAGGCTCCTGAAGGCAACTTCTCCAGTTCAGGCCACCTCTGCCTAATGGTGCCCAGCATCTCCTGGTAGCTCACCAGCTTCTTAAAGTTCCACTTGTTACCTGGAGCCACAGAGAGAACAGGAATGTAAGGCAGTGGTCAGCTTGATTCTGGCCATTGTATCGTCCTGGGTCGGCTTTTCCTGGCTCCGTCTCCATCCCCCAGCTCAAATCCCCTCCCGATAACTCGGTTCCCTGCACGTTTCCAACACATTCTCCATCCTGCCGATTTCTCCTCACTTCCTGTATTTGGCTGCCCATTGTAACCAATTTTAGACTATCCCGCTCCCTCTCCAGAAGGAGGTATTGGGTATTTGGTCATATCAGCTGCTCCCCCCCATCTATCACCACTGCATACCCCCTCAACTTTCTTTGGAATATTCCATTCTCATACCAATTCATAAAATCAGGAGCGGAGGAGGCCATTCAGCCCATTGGCAACGTGCCAACTCTTTCACAGTGCTTCCAAATTCATTCCGCTCCCCTGTATATCCTCAAAATTTGTGTCAATATTTCCCTCACAGCCATTTATTCAAGGAACTTTTGAAATAGTATGACAAATTATATCCTAGTTAGCTGTGACAAAAGGAAACGTTTCTCCTCCCTTGCCCTCGACCCATCCACGGCTAATGACACTATCCTCCTCTCTCACGTCTCCACAGTTGTCCAGCTCAGTAGGGCTGCTCTCATCTCAGTCCACCCTTGGACCATCTAAACACTACCTCCAGTGGGTCCTCTTCCAGCTCCTGTACGGTTACCTCAGGTGTCTTCCACATTTGCCTCTTCCAGCTCCAGTTCTCAAAGACATTCTGCCCCTCAGTGCCACCAATCAAGGGCACAGCAACGTTTTTGAGCGTACATTGATGACACTGAGCTCCATCTCACCGCTACCTCTTCTCCACACCTCACCTGCGGCTGTGCATGTTTCTTTCAAAACAGCTTTCTTTTCTTACTCATTCGTTCATTCATTGGGCATTATTATCCGTCCCTAGTTGCCCTTGAGAAGGTGGTGGTGAGCTGCCTTCTCGAACCTCTACAGTCCACGTGCTGTAGGTAGACTGCTGAGGGAGAGAATTCCAGGATTTTGACCCAGTGACAGTGGAGGAACGCTGATATATTTCCAAGTCAGGATGGTGAGTGGCTTGGAAGGGGAACTTGCAAGTGGTGGTGTTCCCATATGTCTGCTGCCCTTGTCCTTCTAGATGGAAGTGGTCGTGGATTTAGGAAGGTGCTCGCTGAGGATCTTTGGTGAATTTCTGCAGTGCATCTTGTAGATAGTACACACTGCTGCTACTGAGCGTCGGTGGTAGAGGGAGTGGATGTGGTGCCAATCATTGAGGCTGCTTTGTCCTGGATGGTGTTGAGCTTCTTCAGTGTTTTTGGGGCTGCACTCATCCGGGCAAGTGAGGAATATGGAGATGAATTACATGCTGCAGGATGCCATACATCTGGGATGCTCTTGATGCCACAGCATTTTATGACTAGTCCAGTGTTATCCCACAATATTGAGCGGGGGTTTCAGTGATGGTGACGCCATTGAATGTCAAGGGGTGGTGGTTAGATTCTCTGGCACGTGGATGGCACAAACGTTAAACACTTGTCAGCCCACGATCTGGACACTATCCAGGCCTTCTTGCATCGAAACATGACAGCTTCAGTACTGAACATCAGCACTTCTGACCTTATGATGGAGGAAAGGTCACTGATGAAGCAGATGATGATGATGGGCCTAAGACACGACCCTGAGGAACTCCTGTAGAGATATCCTGGAGCTGAGATGGCCGACCTCCAACAACCGTGATCATCTTCCTATGTGTCAGGTATGACTCCAACCACCGGAGCGTTTGCCCCGATACCCATTGATTCCAGTTTTGCTAGGGCTCCCTGATGCCACACTCAGTCAAATGCAGCCTTGACGTCAAGGGCTGTCACTCTCACCTCACGCCTGGAATTCAGCTCTTTTATCCATATGTGAACCAAGGCTGTAATGAGGTCAGGAGCTGAGTGGCCCTGACGGAACCCAAACTGGGCGTTACTGAGCACTCGCTGCTTGATAGTTCTGTTGATGACACCTTCCATCACGTTACTGATGATCGAGAGTAGGCTGATGGGGCGGTAATTGGCTGGATTGGATTTGTCCTGCCTTTTTTTGTGTACAGGACATACTTGGGCAATTTTCCACATTGTCGGGTAGATACCAGTATTGTAACTGTACTGGAACAGCTTGGCTAGGGGAGCGGCAAGTTCTGGAGCAGAAGTCTTCACTACTATTGCTGGAAATGTCGTCAGGACCTGTAGCCTTTGCAGTATCCAGTCTCTCCAACTGTTTCTTGATATCCCGTGGAGTGAATCGAGTTGGTTGAGGACTGGCAAGCTCAGCAAAGAGTAGCATTCAAATCTAGGTGACAATGTACAATGGTGGGACAGCCCGACACTTGGTGTAAAAGTAACCTCCACATGTTGGAAGTGGGAGGGGCAGGGAAACAGTCTCCTTGGTCTCCCTGGCTTGTCCATGCTCCTTGCATGGAAGCAGAACTTGAGGAATGGTTGGTGGGTAGAGGGGGTAAGGAGGCACTAATGGACCTATGAAACAGAAGAAAGCCCATTCCAACCTCTTTTTGGAGACATGAGCCATTAAGACTAGTGCTTCACGAGAGATAATGGGAGGAACACATCCTCTTGTGAACCTCAGTAGACACCAGATGATGATACTTACCCAGAAACACAGCGCCACGCCCCATACTGCAGGGCAGTCCAATCGAGATGTGGAGCCCTGACCCCATCCTCACAGTAAGGACTAACATGCGATCTGATGCTAACACTCACCATCAAATGGCATGTACTCAATAAACCGCACATCCAAAGGCTTCTTCTCTGTCAGCTTCACAAAGTCCAAGAGCTCATCCTCATTCAAGCCCCTCATGACGACACAGTTCACCTAAATCAAAGGTTCAAAAGGAGGGGTCAGTTGTTGCTGTTGGCATGTTGGGGAGGTGGGGGTAGGAGGGGTCGTAAGTCAGCTGGTGGACTATCATATTTACACTGTTGGTCAGATGATGTGGTAGACGGATGCCCAGGTCTGCCCTCCTACATGATGAAAGAACCTTGGAAAATTCTAAGGTGACTGAGATATTCTGTCACGTTGTGGATCAACACCAACGTCACAGAACACAGATTATCAGGTCACTACCTCACTTGCTGTGCATAATTTATTGCAACATCTCCAACATGTCCACACAGTGCCCACACTTCACTGGTTGCAAGGCATTCCGGGATGCCCAGAGTTCACGAATGCAAGTTTTTAAAAGGCTTGTTTACGTAAGATCACAGCACACCTTGGAACTCTCCCTTCAGTCGGGTCCTGATTACGTACTGAACCACAAATCAGGAGCAGGATTAGGCCATTCGGCTCTTCAAGCCAGCTCCATCATTCAATAATCAAATCAGCCATGACCCGCTTGTAGCCTTGAATTCACATTCCCGCCCACTCATCATAACCCCTCACCCTCTCACTCACTGAACAAGAATCTATTTTCTTCTGCCTTAAAAAGTTTCATAAGCTTCACTTCCATCACAGTTTCAGCAGCCTTCTGAAGACACTACTCTCTGAGAACAAACGTTACCTCATCTTGGGGTTTAAATGGGTGAACACTGATTTTAAAGAAGTGACCATTAGCTCTAGATTCTCCCCTAAAAAAGTAGCATCCTCTCCGCATGCATTGTCAAGATCCCTCAGAATCTTATCTATTTCAATCAAGTCAGCTCTCCCTCTTCTAAACTCCAGTGGATACAAGCCTGCCCTGTTCAACTTTTCCTCAAAGTCACAACCAACAACCACCCCATTCCAGGGATTAAGTCTGATAAACCTTCTCTGAACTGCCACCAACAGATTTGCACCTTGCCTTAAATAAGGTGACCAGAGCTGAACAGAGTACTCCAGACGCAGTCTCACCAATGCCCTGCATAATTGAAGAATAACCTTCCTACTCACGTATTCCATGCCCCTCACAATAAGCAATAGCATTCTACGAGCTTTCCTGATTACTTGCTGTAGCTGCATTCCTGTGATTCATGTACCTGGACACCCAGATCCCTCTGCATCTCAGAACCCTGCAATCTCTCATGCCTTTTCGATAAATATGCTTCTTTTCACATTCTTTCTGCCAAAACTGACAATTCTGCACTTTCCCACATTAAACTCCATTTCCCGCATCTTTGTCCACACGTTTAGCCCATGTCTTTTTGTAGTCTCTTTATGGCCTCTTCAGCCAGCAGGTTTGTTTACCGTATCTTATGATCCTTCATCAGGTCACTGATGTTGAATTCCAAGACCAACCTCTGTGGCAGACCACACGTTACACCTTGCATTCTCCCTGCTTCCATTAGCTACACTGGCGAAGGAAAGGACTCTACTTCCCAATCTCGCCCCTCACCCGAGGTGTGGAGACCCTCGGGTTAAACCACCGCCAGTCATCTCTTGCTGGTGAGAGAGCAGCCCTACGGTCTGGTAGGATGATGGCGACTTACCCCCTAAACAACGAGCTTTTACTTTCTGCAATAATCTTCAAGGTGATACTTTATCAAATCCCTTCTGAAAATGTAAGGACAGCACATACCCCTTTATCCACAATCCTCTCCTCAATGAACTCCAACAGTTTGGGCAAATAGTGTTCTTTCACCAAACCATGTTGACTTTGCCCGACAATCGTGAACTTATCCAAGTGACCTGTCACAGCCTCTTTAAAAACAGCGTCTAACATTTTAAACTAACTGGCCTCTTAGTTTCCTGTGTTCCACCTCTCTCCATAGTTAGGAAGGATTTTGCATTCTCCACCTTCCGATCTAAATGGGGCCGTCCCAGAAACAAAGCAGTTTCGGAAAAATGAAAACCGACGCATTCACTATCTCACTCGCCACTTCTTTAAAGACCTTTCAAAAGACACCCATCAGAACGAGGGTACTTTGCAGCCCACAGCTCCAACAATTCACTCAATTCACTCTGGTGTGATGCTCTCCATTTCTACCTTCCCTTCCATTTCCCGATTTCTCACTCCCTCTGGAATATTACCGTACGCTGTGTAGTATAAACTAATACAAACTATCTGTGCAATTCATCTACTATTCCCTTATATTCAACGATTAATTCTCCTGAGTCTCTTTCTCATTTTGTTAATACTGGTCCCCTAAATATTTATTGAAACTTTTACTGTTTTTTTTCTGGCTAGCTTTCTCTGATGCTCCGATTTGTCCTACTTTATTACATTTTTCGGTGATCTTTCAATTTATTTTAATAATCTGTCCAACCTTCTGACTGCGACCTATCTTAACACAATTTTTTTTTTGCTTGAAGTTTGATACTATCGTCAACATTCAATAGTTAGGGTCCCCAATTTCACAAAATGTGATAACAAGCTGAAGGGAAACCAGCTTGCCCCCTAACATAACCCCTGGCCCCAAATGAATCCAGCACTAGGTCGAAAGTGCTATAGAAACATCCAAGTCAATCGGAAGAGCTAAAACCAAGCTGGTCTCAAGCTATTTTGTGTTGGCAGCTCAGAAACGTCCACCAAACTGGTGCCCGAGGATCTGGGCCAAATCTGGAGGGCAGAAAAAAAAATCTAACCAGGCCTGACGTGGTTACATAAACCATTCACGCTAATGTCCTGATCACTCAGCACCGGGGAAGTGCGTTTGCTGGAGGTAAGATTTGGGGCCTGGTTAAACTGGAGGGGGCAATTCATTACGACTCAAAAGCCCAAGGTGAAAGATCAAAAGAGGATGCCAATCATCCAGGAAGCCGCATACTAACAAGGCATAAACATTAACCATGTTGATGCCACTGACACCACTAACAATAAGTGATCAGTTACCTCGACTCTGATCCATGCATTCTGTTAAAGAAAGCATAGGAGCATGTCGAAGATATGTATAAACTGCATCAATAAACTTAAAAACGAATGCCACAAGGGAGATGGTGGTGTCCAATTCGGCCTCACACCAGGAAGGTAAACACGGGAACAACCTGCTCAGAAATCCATGCACCTAGATTAGTGTTGGCTCACTGATGATATACATCCTACTGACTGAAGAGGCAAAACACTGAAATTCCCAGTGCACGAACCCTAAAAAGCCGATGAGAGGACGACGACGGATCGGAGAACAGTAGAAATGACTTGCCTTAACAGGATTATAGCCTGCGTCGAGAGCTTTGTTTATACCCTCCATCACTTTGTGAAAACCTGGGTCGACAGAAAGAAAAAAAAGAGATGTCACTTTCTGGAGAAGGGTCCAGACCCGAAACCCCAGCCTTCCTGCTCCTCTGATGCTGCTCAGCCTGCTGCGTTCATCCAGCTCTAGACCTTGTGATCTCAGGTTCTCCAGCGTTGGCAGTTCCTACTTTCTCTCTTGATGTCACAAACGCCGCAGCTTTAAGGCGCATCAAACAGGGATGAGATATTTGCAGGGTACTGTGGTCTGAACCGCGAGGTCACAGCTACCAGGCCGCGAGCAATCAACAGAAGCTTGATCCACAAACGGGTTTCTCGAGATGTGGAGTCTGGTGGCACAGCAGCTATAACACTGCACTGGCAGTGCGGGGGGGGGTCCGACAACGATTCCGAGACAACAGGTCAAATCCAAAGGTAACCGGGGAGTTTAAACTCGGGCAATTAAATAAATCGGGGATGGAAATCAGAGACCAAACTGCCCAGTGAAACATGCCGTCCTTACACGTGACTCCGGACTCACGACGGTGCTGACTCCCAATTCCAGCTCCCTAGCACTGTCACCATCAAGGGGTAATTGGCTTACGCCCATACAAGGATCAGAAATGAGAGGGCGTGGATTTAAAGAGATGTGCAAACGAAGATGTAAGCAAAAAAAAAAAACTCTGACACAGCAAATGGTTTAAGGCCTGGAGGAGTACGCTGTCTGGAAATGTGCTGGGGGCAGGTTCGATTAAGGTATTGCGAAGGGCACTGGGCGCTCATTTGGATAGGAATGGGGTATGCTGGGATATGGGGGAAAAGGCAGGAGACGTGCACGAGGTCACAGAGATGGTGCAGGCACAATGTGCGTAAGGACTTCCTCCTGTACTCTAACAACTCTGCTATCAACATAAAGAGAATGAAAGATCTCTCAATTCATAAATACAAGGAAGCAAGGGCATGTGGGCTTGCTGAGGGATTAGAGTTGAAAGTCAGAGGTGAAGCGGGGAGGCCAAAGGCTGTGGCTATGTGATGTTGCAGGGCTGGGGTTGGTGGGGGGACAGATGGGCGGTGGGGGGGTGGTGGGCGGGGGGGCGGTGGTGTAATGATCTGGTTTCAGCGACAGAGGAGCCACAATCAGGCCAGAGGGTGATGGAGCTTTGTCCGATGGGACATAGTGAACGGCTGACCAGCTCAGTCCCTCAACAGCAAGATAGGTTGCGCTGCAAGGAGTGGGCTTCCTTACCCATCCCCGACGTTGGGACACCAGAGTTACACTGAAAACGCAGGCCATTCAGCCCTTCGAGCCTGCTCTGCCTTTCCATACAATTACGGCCATTTGCCTGACTCTGTTCCCGCTTTCACCCCAAGGGCGCCCTTTTAGCCCCTTGCACTGTACCCGGGGCTCCTTCTGGAAAACATTTGACGTTTTGGCGTCAACCCATCTCAGAGAGCTGCCATAGCCTGTGGGTGAAGGAATTTGGTTTGTGACTGGGTTGAGGGCTTGGGTGATCAGTCTGGAAGCAGTTGTGGAAGGAACTGCTGGAGAGACAGAGAGCAGTGCCCTGTAGGCGAGGGGGGAGGGGGCAGGCAACCCCGAGAACCACTTTTTGGAGGGTGGAGGTTGATGGGAACTCCCTCGTTTCGTCTCTGAAGTACAGCCATAGGACTGCATACTCCTGCCTAACAGCACAGCACCTCACGTAAAATAAACTGCACTCAGAACATCTGCCTGGGTTATGCCCTCAGGTCACTGGAACCAACTGAATGCAGAGTAAAATCAACTGGCAAATAGAACTAGATTAATTTGGGATAGTTGGTCAGCATGGGCGAGTTGGACCGAAGGGTCTGTTTCTGTGCTGCATGACTCTATGCCTGACCATTTCTCTCTGAGGGTTGTGGGACAGTGGAACACTGCCTCCCAGTGGGCAGCGGAGGAAGGGTCACGCCAGCAGAACCAGCTCATCAGTGAGACACTGGACCGTGCCCCATATAAAGTGCATCACCAAGCTTCCGCCTCCTGCAGTGTGCCCACTGACACCCCGAGCCACCGCGCTGGCACAGCCAGAGGGAACGGTCACCCTGTGACATGGCACAGTTCGCCAGCCTCAAACACAGAGGCCGAGGAGAGAGGAGAAAGAGGAGCCTCGCTTCCCGAAAGTGCATTCTGCTGGCCAACAGCATCATGAGCTCCTGGTTATTCACTGACAATGTTGACGGGACCCCTGTTCAAAAACAAATGCCTAACAAAAGGCGGAGATCAACAGATTCGCACTGGGAAGGGAAACCAAACGTTAATCGGGGATGGATGGTACGATGGAATTTGGAATACAAAACAACTCAGCCATGATCTTACTAAATGGCGGAGCACCCTCCCAGGGGCTGACTCCTGCTCCTAACCTGTCTGCTTTCTTATTCATTTTGTGGGATGCGGGCACTGCAGCCTGAGCCAACATTAGATACCCATCACTAGATGCCCTTGAGAAGGTGTAGGTGGGCTGCCTTCTTCGTGTTGCTGTTGGTAAAATCCACAATGATGTGACGAAGGGAACTCCAGGACTTTTACCCAGCGACAGTGAAGGAATGGTGATAGATTTCCAAGTCAGGATGGTGAGCGGCTTGGAGGGGAACTTGGAGGTGGTGGTGTTCCCATGTATCTGCTGCCCTTGTCCTGGAAGATGGAAGTGGCCGTGGGTTTGGAAGGTGCTGTCTGAGGGTCTTCGGTGAATTTCTGCAGTGCATCTTGTCAACGATGATGCTGAGCGTCGGTGGCGGAGGGGGTGGATGTGGCACCAATTAAGCGGCTGCTTTGTCCCTGGATGGTGTAGACCTTGAGTGTTGTTGAAGCTGCATTCATCCAGGCCAGTGGGGAGTATTCCATCACACTCCTGACTTGTGCCTTGTAGATGGTGGACAGGCTTTGGGGAGTCAGGAGATGAGTTACTCACCGCAGTATTCCCAGCTTCTGGCCTGCTCTTGTAGCCACCGTGTTTATGTGGGGAGTCCAGTTGACTCTGGTCAATGATAACCCCCAGGAGGTTGATAGTGGGGGATTCAGTGATGGTCACACCATTGAATGTCAAGGGGTGGTGGTTAGATTGTCTCTTATTGGTCAGAGCCTGGCATTCGTGTAGCGCGAATGTTACTCGCAACTTGCTCAAGCCTGTATATTATCCAGATTTTGTTGCATTTGAACATGGACTGCTTCACTCTCTGAGGAGTCGTGATTGGTGCTGAACATTGCACAATCATCGGCAAACATCCCCATTTCTGACCTTATGATGGAGGGATGGTTATTCATGAAGCAGCTGAAGATGGTTGAGCCTAGGACACTACCCTGAGGGACTCCTGCAGAGATGTCCTGGAGCTGAGATGACCGACCTCCAACAACCACAGTCACCTCCATATCTGCCTGGTATGACTCCAACTGGTGGACGATATCCCAGCCCCATTGCCAACCGATTCCAGTTTTGCTAAGGCTCCTAGATGCCTCACTCAGTCGAATGCAGCCTTGATGTCAAGGGCTGTCACTCTCACCTCACCTCTGGAATTCAGCTCTTTTGTCCATGTATGAACCAAGGCTGTAATGAGGTCAGGAGCTGAGTGGCCCTGGCAGAACCCAAACTGGGCGTCACTGAGCAGGTTATTGCTGAGCAGATGCTGCTTGATAGCACTGTTACTGACACCTTCCATCACTTTACTGATGATTGCGAATAGACTGATGGGGCGGTAATTGGCCGGATTGGATTTGTCCTCCTTTTCATGTACAGGACATACTTGGGCAATTTTCCGCATTGTTGGGTAGTTACCAGTGTAGTAACTGTACTGGAACAGCTTGGCTAGGGGAGCGGCAAGTTCTGGAGCACAAGTCTTCAGTACTATTGCTGGAATGTCGTCAGGGCCCGTAGCCTTTGCAGTATCCAGTGTCTCCGACTGTTTCTTAATATCATGTGGAGTGAATCAAATTGGCTGAAGACTGGTATCTGTAATGCTGGGGACCACTGGAGGAGGCCGAGATTGATCATTCACTCGGCATTTAGGGGCATAGAGTTGTACAGCATGGAAACAGAAACTTTGGTCCAACTCATCCATGCCGACCAGATATCCTAAACTGATCTCGTCCCATTTGCCAGCATTTGGCCCATATCCCTCTAAACCTTTCCTATTCATATACCCATCCAGATGCCTTTTAAATGTTGTAATTGTACCAGCCTCTACCACTTCCTCTGGCGGCTCATTCTACACAGACACCACCTTCTGCGTGAAAAAATTGTCCCCCAGGCTCCTTTTTAATCTTTCCCCTCTCACCTTAAACCTATGCCCTCTAGTTTTGGACTCCTCTACCGTGGGAAAAAGATTTTGGTTATTCACCCTATCCATGCCCCTTATGATTGTATTATCCCCTTTAAGGTCACCTCTCAGCCTCTGACACCCCAAGGAAAATAGCCCCAGCCTATTCAGCCTCTCCCTATAGCTCAAACCCTCCAACCCTGGCAACATCCTTGTAAATCTTTTTTACACCCTTTCAAGTTTAACAACATCTTTCCTATAGCAGGGAGACTGAATTGCACACAGTGTTCTAAAAGTAGTCTCATGAATGTCCTGTATTGCCGCAGAATAATGTCCCAACACCTACAGTCATTGCACTGACCAATGAAGGCAAGTATACCAAACGCCTTCTTCTCTATCCTGCAACTCCATTTTCAGGGAACAGTGCAACTAGGTCTGTTTGTTCGCCAACACTCCCTGAGGCCCTACTTTGAGTGTTCGGAGATTGTGAAACTTGCTACATAAACCCAATGTCCCGTTCTATCTTTGTTTTTGCTGACTTGTGGGATGTGGGCGTTGCTGCCCTTGAGAAGCTGTGGCGAGCTGCCTTCTTGAACCACGACAGTCCATGTGCTGTGGGTATACCCAAAATGCCACGGGGGAAGAAATTCCTCCTTTCTAACAGCAAACCATGGTGCATTATCCTTCCCCTTTCTCCTTCTGCAGCCTCTGACATAGTCAAGGACAATATCCTCCTCACACAACTCTTAGTTGTGCAGATTTATACAACTGCTCTCATTTGGTTCGTTCTTGTTTATCTCATTGTCGCTAGGGCATTTGAAAAACCACTTGCCTTCCCAGCGCTGCACTGTTAACCAAGGTTTAATCCGTAGTCCCCACATAATGAGGAATTTAACAGAATTGAAGAGTGACAAATCACTGGGATCTGAGGTTTCCATCCGAGGGTGTCAAAGCAAGTTGGGGAGCAGATTGTAGACATCCTGTCTGTCTATAAACTTTCAGAGCTCCCGAGATACAATCCAGAGTCATTCCTTTGGATTGGAAACTTACACTCGTCACTCCATCTCCCATTAACATGAACTTGCTGGTCAATAATGGAGCTCGAGGAGGGACTGTAAGACAAGATTAGTTAGGGAAGGGTGTTTTATATGGAATAATGGATTCTCTGCAGTTAGGTATAGAACGTAATCTAATCAACTGCATCAGACAGTTTATCTGTAGAGGAATGGGTATTTGGAAGTTGTTAAAAGGCTGGAATCTAAATCGAGAAATAGTGGATTGTAGAACAACATAACTGGTAATGATTACATAGCTGCAATGTAAATTTAGGGTCTTGCGTGATCTCTGTATATAGGATAATGGATAGCTGGGAATAGTAAAAAGCTGAAATCTAATTTAAGGTTTCAGATATCAAAAATCACAAAAGTAAGGCTCAAGTAGCCTTGGGTATTAGATTATAGCAGAGGTTGTTGTTGATATTTTTCTAAATATAGAAAATTATGCATTAGCCATTTCTCATCTTTCTTAAGTGCTCATCATTAAATTGACAATCCAATAGCAGTTTCCTCATTTGTTTTCATACATCCAACCTTCACTATAATCATGACGTGTTACAAAAAAACTGCATTAACACCCGAGTAAACCCATTCTCCATTCTGGCTGAAAACCGTTGTGAACGCATCAATCTCACGTTCGTGAATCAATGTGCTTTCCCCAAAAGGCAAAAGAGGGGGTTTAGTTATTGAAGACGGTGGAGTAGAGGCTGGAACGAGGGTTTAGAGGCACATACAGGTTTTATAAACACATCAGACTGTCATTGCCGGGTTTGCAGCACCACAGCGTGGCAATGGCTTGTAACTGCAGCATAATCACTTGTAAGTGACGGACTGAGAGAAGGAGAATGTGGCATCATCACATGACTAATCGCCTAGCATCTTTGAACGCAAGCTTAGGCACAGGGGCTTATAAAGCGTGGGGTCACACTTGTTTAATTCCCATCCACTGCAACAAGGCTCCGTCCAGATTATTTGCTTCCAAATTGGAGGGTCAATCGTTGGCCAGAGCAAAACGCTGTACTGCGAGATCTTTCCCTCGTCCCAGCGAGGGGCAAAGAGGGATTAAAGGACACACTGTAAAAGACAGAAACTCCGACAGCGCAGAGCCCCCTGCACTGGAGGGGCAGCCTGATCGGTGCGCTCGAGGGCTGGGCTAGGATTAGAACCCACGACCTTTGTTGATAGTATAAGGCAGCAGTGGAGGTTAGATAGACCTTAGGGTTTAGGGTAAAAGTTCGGCACAACATCGTGGGCCGAAGGGCCTGTACTGTTCTATGTTCTCTGACCATCTAATTCAAAAACGTGCTTCCCACTCGGCCCATGCTTGACATCAGTTGCGAAGGAACAGTGATCACTCAAGCTCAGGGGCCTGTCTCTGTCAGGTTACACCTATACTAACCTGCCACACTTCCAGCTCAATCAACATTCCATGATCTCACCTCCACCTCCCCCACCACAGCCCCCCTCCACCCGCCTCTTCCCGTTTCCCCTCCTTCCTAGAGAGTTAAGTTTGACACACCTCAATAGACTGTGACTGATCTAATCCTCAACTCCACTTTCCTGCCTTTTTCCCCCATAACCCTCCACTTCCTGACCAATCAAGTGTCTTCACAGATGCTGCCAGACCTGCTGAGCTTTTCCAGTAACTTCTGTTCTTTTTTTGTTCCTGATTTACAGCATCCGCAGTTCTTTGGGTTTTTATCTCTGCACCTCGGCCTTGAATACACTTGACCCAGCCTCAACGGCCCTCTGCGAAGAATTCTACTGATTCACACACCCTCAAAAGAAATTCCTCCTTGTCTTTGTCTTAAATGTGCGAACCCCACCCCAGCTTATTCTGAGACTATGCCGTCCGGTCCTAGAATCTCCCACAGGGAAAAACCTTTCCACACCCGCTCTGCTAAGTCCCGTAAGTGTCCCGTTCACTTCAATACTTCGTTCTCTCCTCTTAAGGCAGTCCCTCTGTACCTGGGGTTAGCCCAGTGAACCATCTCTAGGAGAGCTTGGGGTGGGGGGGTCAAAGAACGTTGGGGATTTGGGTGGGAGGAACAGATGGAGCGATGGGGAAGAGAGAGCCACGCCACGGACCTGAGCCCTACCTCTCCTTCGGGCGATGAACTCAAACTTGGCGGGAACCAGCGTGTCCAGGCTGATGTTGATCAGATCGAGACCAGCGTCCTTCAGGTTCGGCAGCTGCCGGGCCAAGCTGATCCCGTTGGTCGTGACTGCAATGGTCTTCAGATTGTCCAGCTCCCGCAGTTGGGCTGTTTTGCAACCGAGAGGAAAATAAAAAGGAGGTAAAATGTAGGGGGGAGGTCAGAACAGATGGCAAACGCTCAAGTTTAAACCCTACCTCTTCAAAATTAACCAATTGCAAAATTAATGCCTGCTGCACAGAGACATATTTTTCTCTTTATTTGTTAATGGGATGAGTTGCTGGCTAGACAGCATTTATTGCCCATCCCTAATTGCCCAGAGGGCAGTTCAGAGTCAACCACATTGCTGTGGGTCTGGAGTCACATGTAGGCCAGACCAGGTAAGGATGGCAGTTTCTTTCCCTAAAGGACATTAGTGAACCAGATGGGTTTTTCCCTGACAACTGACAATGGATTCATGGTCATCATTAGATTCTTAATTCCAGATGTTTTTATTGACTTTGAATTCCACCATCTGCCGTGGTGGGATTTGAACCCGGGTCCCTGGAGTATTATCTGGGTCTCTGGATTAACAGTCCAGTGATAATACCACTAGGCCATTGCCTGCCCCCCCCCACCACAGCAACAAAACCAAAAAGCCTCAGGAGCATCACAACCAAAACCTGTCCTTGGTGTAGGCTTTGAGGAAGACTTTAACAAGGGTAGGGGTGGAGTTAGATTTGATGGAGCGGTTTGGATAGAGGGAACAGGGAAAACTGCACCTGTGCCAAGAAGGATTGAGCACCGAGGGCACTGTTAAGGGAATTCAGAGAAGTAGCAATGGTGACACGAGGAGAAGCAGCAAGTAGAGAGGATCTGGAAAGTACCGGCGAGCGGTGGAGAGAGAGTCAATTGAGGCTCGAGAGAGGGGTTTGGATGATAACCTTAAAAGGAAGCAAGTGCAGGTTTACAGGAGCGCAGTGGCACGAGATGAACTGCTCATTCAGAGACAGAGAGCATAAATACGATGGGCAGAGTAGATAACGTTTGAGCTCTATGCCTCGGAAATTGGAGGAAGCACTGAATACAGAGGTGTGCAGGAGGCAGGGGAATCAAAGGCTCTTGGGGAGGGGGAGTGGAGGGGAATGGGAATGTGGAATTGGGAACACAAACACATTGGTTTGATCTCACTGAATGGAGTATCAGTCTCTGAGGGGCTGAATGGCCTACTCCTGCTCCTATTTTTTTTAATAATCTTACGTCTGTGTGGCCTTCTGTGCTCTCACTGTTCTGCGGAGCCAGAGGTATTTAGCGAGGGTTTTCCAGATCTTAGGGCCCATGCAGCGCAGACAAGCTGCCAATGGTGGAGTGACGGATATTACACAAGAACATAAGGAACACGAGCAGGAGGCGGCCATCTGGCCTGTCCAGCCTGTTCCACCATTCAATTAGATCATGGCTGATTTTTTCATGGACTCAGCTCCACTTTGGGTGGCCCAGTGGTTAGCACTGCTGCCTCACAGCGCCGGGGACGCAGGTTCGATTCCACCCTCGGGCGACTGTCTGTGTGGAGTTTGCACATTCTCCGTGGGTTTCCTCCGGGTGCTCCGGTTTCCTCCCACAGTCCAAAGATGTGCAGGCTAGGTGGATTGGCCATGCTAAGTTGCCCGTAGTGTTCGGGGATGTGTAGATTAGGTTAGGTGGGTTAGACATGGGAAATACAGAGATAGGGGAATGGCTCTGGGGGGGGGAATGCTCTTCGGAGGGTCAGTGTGGACTTGTTGGGCCAAATGGCCTGTTTCCATGCTGTAGGGATTCTATGATTCTTACCCGCCTACTCACCATAACCCTTAATTCCTTTAATGTTTGAAAACTTACCTTTGTCTTAAAAACATTCAACGAGGAAGCCTCAACTGCTTCACTGGGCAGGGAATCCACAGATTCACAACCCTCTGGGTGAGGAGGTTCCTCCTCAACTCAGTCCTAAAGCTGCTCCCCCCTTATTCTGAGGCTTTGCCCCCTAGTTCTAGTTTCACCTACCAGTGGAAACAACTTCCCTGCTTCTATCTTATCTATTCCCTTCATAATTTTATATGTTTCTATAAGATTCCCCCGCATTCTTCTAAATTCCAGTGAGTGTAGTCCCTGTCTACTCAATCTCTCCTCATAAGCCAACCATCTCAACTCTGGAATCAACCTAATGAACCTCCTCTGCACCCCCCTCCAGTGCCAGTACATCCTTTCTCAAGTAAGGAGACCAACAGTTAGGATTAGTCTACGTGTTAAACTAGGGGGATTGCATAGATTCTTCAACGCGAGAGGGTGTCAGGGTTATGATGCGATCTAGTGTGTTATGTAGCCTGTTACTATAGAGTTAGGGAGGAGGTTCTTACAGCCAGATGGCCCTTCACGATTGAGGTTCAAAGGTGCCCCAAGGAAAGCTGTCCACTGATAAAGCTGCAGTGATGTCTGAAGATAAATGCAGAACTTGAGGAACACACCAGGTCAGGCAGCATCAGAGAAGCAGCGAAGTTGACGTTTCGGGTCGGGACCCTTTATCAGAACCCTCTGAAGGCGAATCTCCTGCTTCTCTGACGCTGCTTGGCCTGCTGCATTCCTCCAGCTCCTCACGGTGTTATCTCTGACTCCAGCATCTGCAGTTCTTCCTATCTCTCAAGATAAATGGCCTGGTCCTTTAAGATGAGGTGCAAGGATCAGTCACCTGCTCGTCGGTG